GTTTCTCGCTACGCGGGAATCCAAATCCTTGTTCCTATTCGCCACCTTTTAAAGCAAAATTCTCACTCCAAACGACATTTTCGTAGATTTCAAGTTTTTAAAAATATTTTTTTCACAATAATATTAGGAAAATACATAACTTTTCAAACATTTTAATGCAATCAAAAGCTCTGGTCGGAGTCCCCCTTTAAATTGCGAGATGATCCAGTTTTTAAATTTTGGAAAAGTCCAAAGTTTTTGAAGAATAAAATTGTAAATATTCTGACTTTTTAAAATCTCGAAATCATTCGAAATTTTGGAATTTCTGAAATGTCAGATATTCTGGTATTTTTGAACAAACCAAAATTTCCTCGAAATTCTGGAAAATTAGAAAATAAGGTCCGAATTTTCGGACTTTTGGCATATCGAAATTTTTGGAATTTTCTGAAAAAAATGGATTTCGAATTTCCTACAAATAATGATTCTCAAAATTCTAAACTCTATTTTACACACCTCCTGACAAAGATCATGAAACTTTCGGGCCTAAATATTTGCTCCCCATATCAAACCTCATATTTCAGGGTCTCTCCCCATCTGGAAAATATCGAATCGCTATCATCGGCAACAGTTGGGCAGCCAATCATGCTAGAATGTTCTATCAGGAGTGTGGCCACAAGGCAAAAAGTATCATGCAAGGAGCCGCTTATGGTAGGGACTAGGAGTATTTTGGGGCATCTTTATTATTTGTAGGTTGTGAACCCCTTTACCCAAGTGGGAACACTGAACTTTGTAAGGGAAATTTCACTCATTTCGAGGAGAGGATAAGAAAGGAGAATCCAGATTATGCGTTCATATTTACGAGGTTTTTGACCCACATTTCAGAAAAAAAGTTTAAATTCAGATTCATGTCTATCGGTGATCCATTCCCAAAGGGTGTCACTAGTTTTGACAAAGATCCCATTTATCAGACCATGAAGAAACAAATGCTGAATTTCATCGCCAATATAAAATTCAAGCTTTACATCTTGGATGCAATTCCAAGAATCAATCGAAAAGTCATAGAGGAAATAGTCCCATTGATCAGAAATCATACGGATTTTGAAACTATTGATGTAAGTGAGACATCTGGATTCACAGACACACATTTTTCCAGAACCTCTACATAAAACCAGCAAATTTTGAAATGGCAAGAAGAAGGAATGCAGAACTAATAAAGGATTGTAATGGAAAATGTGTTTTGGTGGATTATGAACCCGAATTCTTTAACAATTCCACCCAAACATTCCGATATTTTGATGATCGAGGATTCTCTTATTGGACGGATCCATTGCATTTATCACCACATGGAATTGAAAAAATCCGGCATGTATGGACGGATATTTGCACGGATTTGTGAACTTTTGAAATGTTATGATATTAGTTTGTATATATTGTATAGGTTAGAAAAATAAAACAATTGGATCAAAAATTTACCACCTTTTCAAGGAAATTCAGAAAATAATTTACAAAATCTTTATGAAAAATTATTTTCCTTTACTCTTGTGTTATATACTAACCAGTCGATTTTCGCCGCCTGTCGGCGGCTACAATTTTTTGGCTTGCTTTAAAAAGTTATTTTCAGGTCACCCGGATCTAGGCCACTCGGTCAGGGCCACCAGGATCCAGGTCACCCCAATCCAGGTCACCCGGTCAGGGTCACCCGGATCCAGGCCACCTCAATCCAGGTCACCCGGATCCAGGTCACCCGGATCCAGGTCACCCGGTCAGGGTCACCCGGATCCAGGTCACCCCAATCCAGGTCACCCGGCCAGGGTCACCCGGATCCGGGTCACCCCAATCCAGGTCACCCGGATCCAGGTCACCCGGATCTAGGTCACCCGGTGAGGGTCACCCGGATCCAGGTCACCCCAATCCAGATCCCCCGGTCATGGTCACCCGGATCCAGGTCACCCGGTCAGGGTCACCCGGATCCAGGTCACCCGGATCTAGGCCACCCGGTCAGGGTCACCCGGAACTAGGCCACCCGGTCAGGGTCACCCGGATCCAGATCTCCCGGGTCTAGGCCACCCGGTCAGGGTCACCCAGATCCAGGTCACCCGGTCCGGGTCCCCGGATCCAGGTCACCCTGTTCTAGGTCACCCGGTCAGGGTCACCCGGATCCAGATCACCCGGACCCAGGTCACCCGAATCCAGGACCCGGGACCGATCCCCGGGTCACCTTCTCTGGAGCCCAGAGAAGGTGAGAACTAATTTTTTCTTTCATTTCCCTCTTCTTTTTATATTTATGTCCTAGAGGTCAATGGTTTCTAAACCAATTCACGTAGTTGTTTTTTTCTAGATTTTCAAATTTATTTTATTTAAATAATTTTTTTTTGCCACGGGGTTTCTTTTTTAATTTTTTTTTTCATCACTTTTAAATAAACTGGAATTTTTACTTTTGAAATCTGTGAAACTCCTTAAAAAGATAGTTCCTTTGAACCTAATTATCTTGTTTCCTGATTGAGATATCAAAAACTTGTCAACTGATGGAATGTTTCTGATATAAAGACAAACATTTTCGCGTTCAAAATTTTTGAATATCTTTTACAGGAACCGAGATATATTTGGCCAAAGTTCCGAAACTATGGTTGTCATCTTTCTCACACTGTTGAAAATCTACGCATTTTTTCCTCTCTTCTGGTGTGGTCCCCATGGCGCAGCTGCGCAGCCGTTGTGCGGAATGCCGCGCGGGTTCGGTTTTGGTGGTGGCCAACCTTTCATTAAAAACCCAAAACCGAACAGAATGACATGAGGACCAACAGAGGCGTATAGGGTTTTATTTATAAGGAAGATTTGTTAGGAACATTCTTCTTCGAAATTTTGGAGCCGATCCAACTTCTTCAGTTACGCTCAAAAATCCATAAACCAAGTTCGCTTTTTTTTCTCTTTTTCTCTTTTTTTTTTAATTTTCGAAAAAGTTTCGAGAGACGCAGATAAAACAGTAAATAGTTACACTAACTCATTTTTTATCTAGTGCTGTTTCGAAAAACTTTTTGAATGCGGTCATATTTGCTTAGATTTTGCTTAGATAATATAATAATAATAATAATTTATTTGATTCAGGACTATCAGTCACTTATAAAATCAATGTGTTACAAATTAAACAAATGAGTTAGAAATTATGTTCGTCTAGGAACAGGAAAGAAGATAAATTAACATGACTTCAAATAAGTTTTAAAAGAGATGGATGAAATCAAGGGTGGGAACACGGTTTTTGGAAGCGAGTTCCAGCAGGATATAATACGGAGAGTAAGACTACATAGCGTCCTCGGCCTACGGCCGACTCCGCTAGGCGCGGCTATGCCGCGCAATTAGGTGGAATCAGATGCAGGGCCCTTCGGCCCTGGCTCAGTGGAATCAGTTGATTCATATTTTAGTCTGGTCTCCCTTCGGTCGCTCCGCTCGCTCAGGTCAAACAGACCGGACAGGACCTTCGGCCCTGAAACATGGGCCCCAAAAAATTTCATTAATTTTTTCCCCAAATCCAGTTCTCTTTTTTTTCATTGTAGCTATCAAAATTACCCATCAAATGAAAAAGCCCGATTTTTAATTCAGGCCCTAGTTCGGCAGAAGAACAGGAAAACCCGGAAAAAAAAATGGTATTCACTTGTACGTTCGTTATCATATTTCGGTTCAAACAGTACAACTTTTGACGATTTTTAGTGGCCGCGTAGCCAGAGAGATTTGCTATCGATCAAAAAAAGATTTGGCCAAAACGGACTGAAATGAACCTAGTTAGGAGCTTTCAAAGAAAATTTCTACAAAATGTCAAAAATGATCGCTACGGTATTTAAGGGAAGAAGGGGGCGGAAATTGAGCAGAAAGTTTTGAAGCATTTTTTAATGTACAGCAAATGTAGTATGGGTGGCGTCTTAGATGATTATGATGAAACGGGACAATAAATAGATTATGGTCAATTGCAATTTCCCGGGAAACTAGAGTTTTATACATAAAAACTAGATCGGATAGAAGTCAACGGTACTTTAAGGATTCTAAATTGTGATCACGGAGACAATCAAAGTAAGATATATAGGGATAGTTGAACTTCTTGTAATATCGGAACAGGAATGACTTTTGGACGCCTTCAAGAAGCTTGATTTGCTCCTTGAGGACGGGGGAGAAAACAATTGTACCATACTCAAGAATGGGGCGAATGTAGATGACAAACCATTTTACGAAAATATCCATTTTAGACCGGCGGAGAACATTAAAGAAAATGTTAATTCGTTGGTGTGCTTTCCGGAGTGTGGTAGCGAAGTGGTCAGAGAAGGCCAGTGACGAATTGAGAATGACTCCCAAATCACGAATCCTCTGAACAGTTGCCAATCTCTCGTCGTTAATTGAAAAATGATTGTTAGTGTTATTAAGACGTCTTTTATGAGAGAAAGAGATAGCTTCACATTTAGTGGGTGCAACACTCATTTGCCATGTATCACACCAGTTCTCCAGTTTTTCCAGATCACTTTCAATATGCATTGGGTTGGTAGAGAATAGTTTCAAGTCATCAGCATAGAGTAGAAAGTTGGAAGAAAAGTTATCTTCTATGTCGTTAATGAAAATGAGAAACAGAAGCGGTCCGAGAACTGAGCCTTGAGGAACACCCGAAAGGACTTCCGTCTCTCTGGACAGCTCAGATGACGACTTTATGTTTTGGTATTATCGAATTTTTTTTCGAATTTTCGAAATTTCAGAATTTCCGAAAAAAAATTATATTTCTTATAGTCGAAGTTTGCTTTCTTCTTTTTTTCGACTGTTCGTTATAATGCTCATCAGCTAAAACTCTATTGTTTGAACCTAAAATGAGAGAAGGAGTTCGAAGTCGTGGTATTTTTTTGAAAATCACAATTTTTTTTTCTACAAATCACCTTTTTCTTCTTTAAAATTACAGTAAAATTTTCAGAACTTTTCGTTTTTTTTTAAATCCTGAAGTTTCGACCTTCTTTCTATTTTTTTCAGCCAAATCGAAAAAATAATTATGAAAAATTACGAAATCTCGGTTTTCCGTTCTAAATTTTCAAAAAAAACTTTAGTTTCATGCAATTGTGCTCCGCTGGAAAAACATCTTGTAGTACTGCATGCCGTAAAAATTCCTGAGCAAAACGTGTTATCAGTGAACCTGGTGTTAGACATCAGATGGTCAAAAATACTGATAATACCGTGTATGTGTTGATGGTTATGTGCTATTATTTGGAAATAGTGTTACTATTCGGTTCTCCACTTTAATTGAATGTGTTGTTTAGTTATTCGTGTATCTGTGTTTTTGTGATTGTATTGTATTCCTTTTCTCTTTTTTCTCTTTTTCCACGACGGAAGGTCGTAATCAATAAATAAAATAAATAAATAAATATAACGCAAACTAAATTTTTTGAGAATTTTCCAGGACCTTTTTGAAGATATTTCCTCCCGCACTTTTTAAATGGAAATAGGCACCTCTGAAGACGGTTTTCGACATTTTGCTTCTGAGCGCATTTACAACACTTTCCAAAAAATTGCCGCCGTAACTCTAACTTTTCATCCTTGAAGGCGTTAGCTGCCAAAATTCAGAAGCATGGAATAGTGGTACCTGCAAAAAGTGATCTTTGTCGCAAAAAATCATAACTTGGCAGCGTACCGGTTTTTGAATTTTCAAACATGTTTCTCCAAAAAGTTGGTTAAATAGCTGCTCAGCTCACTACTCATATTCATCCCAATCATCTACTCAGCTACTCGTGGCTAGTGGCCGCTTACGCGGATACACGACGCTTCCAAACTTGGCTTGATGCCAAATTTCAATTCGAGGTTCCCTTCCACAATACCGTGCACAATGCCACACCGATAACGAAGATATTTTAAGTTACTGTATTTTTTGTTGTGAGACCTTCGGCGACGGCCACCTTCCTCTACAGCTCCAATTTTTGCACCAGTATTGTCATCGGAAAAAAAAAACTTTCTTGCTCAGATGACGTAACTTCTGTCATTCTTGTACTGATTCATTTTCTCAATTATTGTTTCATGTCTTATTGTTTTTTCTTTGATAAGGCCTTTCTCTTATCTGTACTTTCATCCTCCACCAGACCATCACACACATCCGTGTGGTATTTGTGTGTTATTTGCCACCACGGTGTGTCTTTTTTCTCCAAGTGAATTGTTACGAAATAAACAGTGTAAATGAGATCAATCGAGAGATACGGATCATGTGAAAGTGTGAGGTCGCCGCAGCAGAGAAACAACAAACGATGAAGTCATGTTCGCTTTTTGCAACCTTTAACATTTTTTGCTAAAAATTCTTATTTTGTTTACTTACGGCCACTTCATTTATCGATAAGAAGTTTCTCGTGATTTGTGCTAGTTTTTCTTTTTTTTTTCTTGCTTAGACAACCTTTTTCCTCTACCATGAATTTTTCTCTACCATGGTCCGGTTTATTAGTCTCAAGATGTGTGAATTTTTCGGAGTCAATAGAAAAAATGACAATTTTTTGTCATGCAAAAATTTTTCCAAGATAAGAGTGCCAGTAAAAAATAATTTTTCCTAAAAAAACTGGAAAAACAAATTTTTTCCAAATTTGGAAAACCCTTTTGCAAGTATGGAAAGAAAGGCACCTTGAAAAAATAATGGACAAAAAATTCAAGAGTATGAAAGAAAAAAAAATATATATATATATACAGTACGATATAAAAAGAAGTATGCCGATTCCTGAAGGACACCCTTTCGAACCCTTTTTGTACTGAAAACGTGAAAAAACAGGTGTCGTTCAGATTTTGGCAAACTGCTGAAAAGTTAATAGTACGAATTTTCGAAAAATTCTTTAAATGCAAAGTTTTCAATCTTGATCTGTTTCAACACTCCAGAATTTTCAAAGTGATCGGAAGCTTGACAGATGGGCTCCAAACTTTAAAAAATGGTCGAAAAGGCAGAAAATAAACATGATGTAGAACATCTTTGTTACTGGTACTGTATGTATATAGCGTTCCCTCTTTTTAAATGACCCTTTTTAATCTACGTGTCCCCGAAACTGTTTCTTTGACTCCTCATTTTTCAGATTCTCCTTAAATTTAACCGTACCCTATCACTGGAATTGAACTAAACTTTCTTGCTCAGCCCTTTCCTAACCTATTGTTGAATTTAAAAAACTGACACCCGTGTTTGCAGACTCAGTAGAAAAATTAACGTGATTTGAACTGAGTCCGCAAACACGCAGGTGTCAGTTTCATAATTCTGACAATACGTTTCTTAACTTTCAGCTATCTCCCATCAACCTGCGTCTTTGAATTTTTACCATTGTGGTCTAATCTATTAGCATCTTGCCATCTGTCAACTATCGGGCTTGTTTTGTAGTTTGATAACGTTGAAGTGAGCTATTCTCATTTCCTCTCATTCTCTCGATGTTTATCCTACTTTTGTGTTATTATCAGTAAGCGGGTAAGATTTTTTTCTGTGCTCACCGTCCACATATTTCAAAGGACTCTATTTAAAAGACTCTAAAACGAACAGCGCAATACATTTCCCTCCTTCGAATGTATTTGCTTGCTTACTTCTGAAAAAAAAACTATCCTCTTCACATTTCCCCTTGACCCTATCCAGAAACTAATCAACGAATAATGTCTCCTGTTGAAGCTTCTCAGTTGAACGACATCGTTTTCCCGGAAGGCGGAACACAGAACGCGGATGAACTATTTCTAACGGGACTCGAAATACGGAATTCCACTCACCACTGGTAAAAAACCTCGACGTCTACAAACAATTCCTGGAAAGTGATTTTTGAAGTCGTCCTGATTCGACGCTCATTCATCGGATCACCATGGATTCTCCTGCTGTTCAACGAAAAAGTAAGTCATTCCATTTTCTTGCTCAAATTGTGGGTCTTTTTGAATAACTATGGCTGATTGATGAATGTGAAAGTGATAAGCAAAACAAGAAATCTTTGATAAAACAACATTTTCAAGCTCCCAACGGGATGTCCAAACTACGGCGATTGGGTCAGTGGATCTCTTCATTTTTCACAGGTTGAATTTTTTCCCTTGTTGGTGCGCATACGAAAAACTTATTTTCAGAAATGCCATCCCAAGAGGAGCCGGACACTCTCACTAGCCATATGTTCGACCAACTTCAAGGGGGTGCAGGTGATCCTGTTTCTCGGGCCACTCTCAATCACCTGGTGAGAATCCAAATTTTATTATCATTCCCTTTTTCATTTTCTACATTTCAGGCTGATGAAATGAAAAACCAAGGAATGTGGCCCAGTTTCAATGTACCTTACACTGGGCCAGATGGTAATGATAATCCCTATGAAAATCCTCCAGATGATGAACCTCCAATTGTTACTGCTGATGATGGTAGAGAAGCTGGCAGTCCGAGTGATCACGAAGATGTGGATTTACATGATAATTATGATATTGATCCAAACCTGGAATATGTTATTTACACATCTGAAAACTTACTGGATCCAGATGTCATGGATCAAGGTGGTGAAGAGCAGGAAATGATGAGCATGATAAATGACGAATTTCAAACAAGCAGTGGCATGCTACCTTATGATGCTGTAAACATGCTTCCTGAGAATGAACCAGCTCCAATAAATAATGATGAGACAACCGTTGAACCGATGGAATTTGAGAATGATCCACCTGAAACTTTCTTTCCAAATAATGAGACAACTATGGAACATGAAGTGCTAATTACAGAGAATGGATATCACTTGAGTTCTTCAACATCCTCGTCATCCAACGTCTGTCATGGTATTGTTGTCACATCTTTCCCAGGAGTCATCGAAACTGAAGATGGGGAGCAGGGATCCAGTGCTCCGGCTCAACCTCCCAGGACAAGAGACTTCAACAGTCAGCAAGACCCAACCGTAGCAGACTTGTCACAACAAGTAGAAAATTCTCTTCATGTACCCGACGACTTGGAACTTGATTCTTACGATAAAATCTTCTCAGGACCGTTACCGATCCCTAAGTATCGAACTGTTGGACCAAGCTCTTCCGACCACTGTTGTGACTTCCAACATCAATCATGGTCTAGCACAGCTGAGGCGATCCCATCAATTACAGACAGTGGATATCAGTCAGCCCTTCAACATCATCGCCATCCAATGTGTCTTTCACAGAAGTTATGGAGACGGAACATGGGGAGCCGACGTCCAGCCAATGACAGGTACTGGCCAAAAAGGTATTCGCAAACGGTTTTTTGAGAGTAACTTTGCTGAAACTTAAGGGATCGATCTGAAAATTTTACTGTGCATGTCGTACATAGTGACGACAAATTGCGTACAAGGAAATTGCATCATTTTCAGAAATTTTTTGTTTTTTTCAATTTTTTCAATTTTTTCGTTTTTTCACTTTTTTCATATTTTTATATTTTTGGATATTATGGTTTCTAAGAATGTTGGTTTTGGCTCCTATGTATTTAAAACTGTTTACAGACATGGCCAGACCCCTCGGAAAAAAAAACATCTCTCAGGACATCCGTAAAGCCATCGTCATCGGCTTCAGAAGTGGATGTTCCAAGGACCTCTTGGCGCAGCAGTTCAATGTTACTAAACGTGCCATCGAGAAGATCTTGAAGCAGTTTCGGGATGAGGTAATATTCAAAAATAGTATAGTTATGGAAAAAAATGTTTAGGGAGCCTTGGTGGAGCGAAAATCGCCTGGAAGACCGCGTATCACGTCGAAGAACATGGATCGGAACATCGTCCGAGTTTCAAGAGAGGATCCCCAGAGGAGTTCTACGGACATTCAGATGGTCGTGAAGACTCCAAATGAAGTCACACCATCCCTGAGAACCGTCAGAAGACGTCTTCAAGATGCTGGACTCCATGGACGACGGCCAGCTAAGAAACCATCGATCAGCAAGAAGAACAGAATCGCCCGCGTAGCATGGGCCAGAGCTCATCTCCACTGGGGACGTCAGGATTGGGCTAATCACGTGTTCAGCGACGAATCCAAGTTCAATCTGTTCGGTACTGACGGTATCAAGTGGATTCGCCGTCCGGTTGGATGTCGGTTCGATCCCAGCTACCAGCTCCAAACCGTCAAGCATGGAGGTGGATCGGTGATGGTCTGGGGCTGCTTCTCTGGGACTTCAATCGGCCCGCTGAGAAGAATTACAAGCATCATGGATCGCTTTGTGTATGAAGACATCTTGGAGAACACAATGAGACCCTGGGCAAGGTCTACTGTGGGCCGGGCGTTCGTTTTCCAACAGGATAACGGCCCGAAGCACACCTCGAAGCACATCAAGGAGTGGTTCCGACGCCGCCACGTGGATCTTCTGGACTGGCCAAGTCAATCTCCGGACTTGAATCCGATCGAACACCTCTGGGAGCATGTCGAGAGACAGCTTAGAGGGGTTCGTGCCTCGAATGCCAACCAGAAGTTCGACCAACTCCAAGATGTCTGGCAGGCCATCCCGATGTCTGTCATCGACACCCTTCTCGACTCGATGCCAAGAAGATGTCAAACGGTAATCGACGCCAAAGGCTTCCCAACGAAGTACTAAAGCTATTTTATTCATTTTCTATTATTATTTTTCGTTTACCGGTCTATCCTAGATCTCAGAAGTCAAAGTTCCATTTACCGGTTTTTTGCAATTTTCATGAATTTTTCGATTTTTTTTCAATTTTTTGAAATTTTGACTATTCTTGTTGTTGAATCAGTTTCTTTTACCGTTTTAAACTTTGTCTTAAAATATCAGATCGATCCCTTAAGTTTCAGCAAAGTTACTCTCAAAAAACTATTTGCGAATACCTTTTTGGCCAGTACTGTATGTTGTATGTTCATGATCGCCTTTCCAGTGCAAATCACTCGGAAATATTTGATAGTCAGCAACCGAAACAATACTGTGAGCTGGATAAGAAAGCATCAGGATCATTACATCAAGTCACTACCAAATATGATTTTTCTGGAAGTGGGATTAGTGAACCGTGGTCATCTTACTATGGTATTGGTTTCCCACACCAACCACCGCCAAGCCTGACTGATGCAATCCCAAGTGACTCTGCTAAGCGGAAGCGCTCATCGCCAAATTCCTCGGATCAGTTCCATCATCCGGCAAAAAAGTGTAAATTGGATGGAAGACAGTTACCTTGCAGTGATCAGCAAGCATGCTTTTCTAGCCCTGTAAACGTGTGCATATCTGATTCTATGCAAAAGCCAGTAATCCAGGTATTCTGAACTGTCCATTTTCAACAGTTTTCACATAATTACTTTTAGGACCTTAGACATGAGAACTCCGATTTGAATGCCACGGTAGCTAGGAAGACTGGTCGAATTTCCAAAAAACAACAAACTGTCTGTTCACCTCCCGTGCAACAGTCATATGCACAGGTACTCTCTCTAAAACTGTCTCTAAAAATTTTTTTCATGCTTATTTTTTCCAGGAACATCCTCTCGATTTCCTCAGTCTGAAATCATTTCAAAAATATGATGAAAAGAAGGAGAAGTACTTGAAATGCATGGGAAAAGGCGATACGACAGAAGCCAAACGAGTTAGACAGCGTACCAACGTTGAGGATGAGGTGAGTATTTGATTTTTTGTTTTTTGAAAATTTAAAGTGACAAAAAATAAAAGTAATGTGCTTTCAGGGTGTCCGAAAAGAGATGGATCGAAATTGCGACTACTCCAAAAAATGTGCTAAAAAGAAAAAAGATGCAATCAACGATGTAATATTGGAATTTATTGAGAAAGTCCAAGAAATGGAAGAAGTCATATCAATCGAGCGCGTTGCAATTTCCTCATTGGAATTGTATAATTTTCTAGGAGGGAGAGTTGATAACAGTGACTGCAAGGCTTATGAAACAAAAAAACTGTTGTCCACTGGTTTTGGTTCACAAGCGGAACAAAAGGTTCAGGAAACTTGGAAGGTGAGGCATCAGTAGATCTCTGTATATCATCAGAACTAACTATTTTCAGTTGTTTGGCCAAGCAAAAACCAAGTTTCAATTGAAGGCACAAGAGTATACAGCCGCGTCAAAAAACGCCGAGGGTCTTTCTAAAGTGAGCCTTTTGACCTACAATATCTTCATAAACTGTCAAGTTCTTCCAGGAAGAAAAGAAGAAGACAACAGCTTCACCGGGTTCCGCAAGATCAAGAGCGAAATCAGAAATGGAATTTGCTGAGATAAATTATGACATAGTCTGTCTTGGCCTTGTAAGTCATCGATATTGACACTTAAAATAATTAAATTAAATTTTTAAATTTTCAGATCATCTCGAAAAAAGCACAACTTTTGATTGTGGCTCATGAATTTGCTAGGAGATCCGTCAACAAGATTGCTCCGAGAGCAAGCTCCAACACTGAGGAAATAATGAAATGGGTCGATCGAAATGGAAAGACAAAAGAGTGGGATGAACTCAAATCATTCGTGGAAGCAAATCCGGAACTCCGTAGATCGAACCTATACAACTAACTTATAGATAGAATAGCATTTTAATTTCATAATAATTCAAGTCCTAACCATTATAACCATATTCTTTGTTTGATCTAGTATTTTTATGTAGCAAGAAACATGCATGGGTAAAAATAAAGACGTATGCGGGTAGCTCTTTTTTTAAAAAACAGAACCAAAATGAAACAGAAAGATTGTCATCACATATGTCGAATCGTCGAGAAAACTATTTGCTAGCTTTAAAATCAAAAATTTTCCTCACTATCAGAGGAAGAGAAATTCCTTATCAATTCCTATTACGACAATTCCGATAAAATCTAAAGAAGAAAATTTGTGTAGAAGGCTGGCTTTCCTACGTTATGAAACTTGAAGTAAATTGAACCTGCATTAGAAGGGTCCTCTCAAAATTGTGTTGTTGGTAATCATACCTTTCAGCAGACTCTCAGACGTTTCCGGCAACTTCTGGTCCTGTCAGATTCCTGTTAAGATCGCTATCAAACTCCGAAATACTTCTGACAAGGTTTTTAACCTAGTATTGCTTCAACTCTTAATTTCTTACCAAAATCTGACCATGTCCTACAGTCGTTTTTGGGCAACATTCCACCAGAACCCGACCAATATCCGTCCCCTACCCAAAACCCGCACAACTTAAGACCGCAAGTTACAAGCTGACAGTCGAGTTAACTTAGACATATATATTTTATGAAAACTACTTCGAAACTCAGCAAAACCCTTGCTTCATTCATTTTTTCCTCAGACTTGTTGCTATCATTGAAAGAGGAGGCAACAGAGAAACAAACTGACGTTTCCCAATGGTTGTCTTGTATTCCTCACTCTAAAACGAATCGACTCGAAAAAAAATTTCATTTTATTTATCATTCGTTCATTGGTGTTGGTTGCACTTCTTCTATGATGGGAGTTTCGCCGATGAACGTATGTATTTCTTGAATTTATTTTTTTGTATTATGAAATTCAGATCGAGAGATACGTCGAGAAAAGAAACCAGTTTTCGAAAGAATTGGAACAAGATGATGACACAAAACCACGGAAGAGGCGAAGAGAAGACGTTGAAGATTCAGTGAGTATTCGAAAGTTTGATATTTTCAGAAACGATTATTCAGGATTTCGAAATACATTTTCTACTGTTCTGTTTCAACTTTTAAATTACCGCTAAGCCTGCATTAGGAGAGCCCTCTCTAATATAAGGGCCCCCTTCAAAATATGTCGTTTGAAATTTAAAATTTAATTGTCAGTGATAAAAGTTTTGCAAACTACACAATTTCATAAAAATGTAATGAAAAACTCTTTTCGGCTCAAGAACTTGCCTAAATTTGGTGAAATCAATAGTTTCAACTCAATTGGAGGACCCCTGTAATAGAAGGGCCCTCCGTAGGTACTTTTAGAACAATAGAAGAGCAGGCCCTTCTAATACATGTTTAACGGTATCCGAAAAAATTGAACACCAAAAACCTTCATTATGGATTTTTCAGGATCTCCGAAAAAAGATGGATAGAAACTGTGAATATACAAAAAAGCATACCAAAAATAAGGAAAATATTACAAAAAAGAAGAAATTAGAATTGATTGAAAAGACGAACAGAGTTGAATTATTAGATGAAGTTATCAATAGAAACGAGCGCATGGCAACTAATTTTTTGAGTCTGAATTCTAAATTAGGAGGAACGGCAAATGAAGTATATTGGAACACTTATGAAGCACATAAACATCTGTTCATTTCAAAAGTAAACGAAGTCAAAGAAAATGATAATTCCATTCTGAAAATTCGGGAGGTGAGACATTCATAGTTTTAGCAGCATTCCTAATATTTCTCGTTTGCAGCTATTCAATGAAAAAAAGAAGGAGTTCGAGGAGAAATCAGAAATGTATGAAGAATCAGCGATAAAGGCAAAAAACCTTCCAGACGTTAGTTTTTAAATATCTACTTTTCACAAAACTACAGATTTTACAAACGTTTGTTTTTTTTTCTTTCTAAAATTATTTACCACCAGCAAGCTAGTGCGCCTTCTATTTTGAATATATTTTGTTACTCCTCACTTTTTATTAAGGTGTCACGTCAATTTATATTCATTTTTCAAGCTTTTCAAAAAATGACAGCCGGACGTGAAGACCTACAAATGCGTGTAGCGTTTGATATATAAGGAAGATAGACACTTCTAATAGAAAAACTTCCATAACTCACAATATTAAGCCAATTTATCTCGGTCCCTGTGACAGATATTACAAAAACTCAATTGAAAAAATATTTTGAATATCATGATAAACATTTTGTCAGTTGACCACTTTTTGATACCTTGCACAGGAAATGAGGAATATTGGCTCAAAGTTGACAGTTTGGGTTTTCATGAAGTTATCTAACAGTTTTTATTTAAATATTTATGAAATTTTACAGAAAGAAAAGAAGAGAGCAACCAATTCAGCAGGATCGGCAAAATCACGAGCAAAAGCAGAAATGATCAGCGCCGAGTTGGATTACGATGTTGCCTGTCTCAATTATGTATGGTTGAACCAAATTACTGTTCATTTCATTTGTTCGATTTTCAGATCATATTTCAAAAAGAATGGTTATTCAATTTATCAATGGAATTCGCTATAAAACAAAAGGGTATTTTTGTAGAGAGAGCGATTTTTGAAATCTCCGAAAATGATTTGATGAGAACGTTGAAAATCAAGACCGGCGTGCTCAAGGAAAGCAAATCCGAATTCTTAAAATGAGAAATCTTGAATTTCTGTTAACCGTTTTTTTTAACTTACTTTTGCTTTAATAAAAGTTATCTGCATCAAAGGGGACTCGACACTTCAATTCCTAGGTTGTTTTTTGGGATATCGGGTAAATTTGCTCAAATGCGAACATACTGTACTACGGTATGTTGGTGTTAGGTTTTTTAAAGCTTGATATCAAAGTGCTGAGTCGCTACTCAGCGACCCCAAAAGCGTGGGATAAAATTGTTTTTTAACGTTCCGGAAATTACACAGTAATTTTCACCTTTTTTCTGAATTTCATATTTTACACATTGTGACTCTTTGCACCATTGTGACTCTTCTTCAGTTACGCTCGAAAACCAAAAACCATGTTCGCTTTTTTGCTCAATTTTTGCTCATTGTTTTGATTTGCGCACACCCACTTTTTAAAGCGAATGTCAAATGGTGATAAGAAACAGAAGAGATACCAATTTAATCTTTTGTAAGATAATGCGCACATGTTTGTTTCTGCAATAATTCTTGTTAAAAAAACTGACCTTCTTATATTTTTTTTGTCGAATTCTTTTTTCTTTGCTAAAAAACAGGGCTCTGTATAAAGATACACAAACGTCCTTGGCTTTCAAAAAAGTCTTTTCGGAGAAAAATTAAACTTGGAATTCGGGACAATTTTTTGGTTGTCCGAAAATATCTTTCTTTTTTTCAGAGGACCTTTACACTTCCGAACAATTCTGTGTCCGCAGCATTTTGGATCGAGTATTTGTCGCCTTAGGCGGTGTTTTTCAAACAAAGCCTACATGCCGCGTGAAAGAAAAGAACCATCTGCCAAAGGGTTCAGGAATACAGTCTCCTGTCTACAAAAGCAATCCAGCCGCTTGCGAAAAAGAGCTCCTGTCTCAAAACTCGCATCGTAACAATCTTATTCAGGACCATCCTGCTCATACGAATGGAGCATTACCCAAAGGAACTCGCATTGTTCTGTCACCAGGGAAGGATCCACCACCTGAATCCAACCGTACCATGTCATGTGAGCATCTTCCAAAGGATTCAAAGGAATTTTTCGAGGATTCGTCTCTACCGAAGTTTGCACCTTCACCAGAGCCATGGGATCTACCGTATGAACCTGGATCATCGATGAGTCTTCATCCAATGCCAAGCACAACTACAGATGCTGATGCACCGCCCCATATCTATTCCTTCTAATATTATTCTTTCCCCTATATCCACCCTCACAGTATCATTCCCATTCTCCCCTAGCTGGTGCTAACTTCCATTGGAGGCGGGACTCGAAAAGGCCGGAGATGTCGGATTCTCATCCGGTTCTTCTTCGAATAAGCCTTTAAAGTCTCTAAATATTCGTAAATTGAATATTCCGCCGTAACTAATGGAAATGCGCGCTGTCGCACTGGCGCCAAAATATAGGCGGGAAATCTGTGAATTGCTTTCTGGCCTTGTTTTTCCTCATTCTTGTTCGGAGAAGGGCACCAGCTTGGTGAATACCCTGCTTACTCTTCGACAGTTTCATTGGCTACCGTTTTGTTACCGAATTTGCCTTTTGTTACCTTTTCCCCCTGGTTACCGATATCCCGAGCGTTGGCTCATAGTTTCCCTTGTTACCAAGTCGGAAAAAGTACAGGTTTAACGGCAGGATATCTCTCCTCCGCGCTACCGTGCACAAGTCCGGAATAGAAAAAGAAACGAGAGAGAAGAGACGGAGAGAAACGGAAAAGCGGAAACTCGGAACAAAATCACTGAATTCAAGGCGAATTCAGTGAAGAATGTGAGACGAAAGAAGAAGACAGCTTTTTATAAACACAACCGGTTTATTAAACTGGGAAATCAAGGCAAAAGGTAGCTAGCAGGCAAGGGAAATCAAGGTAACAAGGGAAACTATGAGCCAACGCTCGGGATATCGGTAACCAGGGGGGAAAGGTAACAAAAGGCAAATTCGGTAACAAAACGGTAGCCAATGAAACTGTCGAAGAGTAAGCAGGGTATTCACCAAGCTGGTGCCCTTCTCCAAACAAGAATGGGGAAAAACAGGGCCAGAAAGCAATTCACAGATTTCCCGCCTATATTTTGACGCCAGTGCGACAGCGCGTATTTCCATTAGTTACGGCGGAATATTCAATTTACGAATATTTAGAGACTTTAAAGGCTTATTCGAAGAAGCACCGGATGAGAATCCGACATATTTCTAGGTTAGGTAGGATCAGGCGCTGTAGTGGTCCTGGTAGTTTTTTTGTTACTGAACTTATTTTCCAAAGAACGGACTGTCTAGTCCACGGCAACTTTCGAGCCGGCCTCTGCCGCGATCTGTACAGTGTTGCCACCGGAGGACCTTCATTTTCAATAGATCTTTTAATTTTCTGGCCTACCTCTTCATTTTGAAATTATCCTTATTTTGTGAAAGAGAACAGGTCGTCAACCGGACTGATAAATTTTTTTTGCTCAAATAATTTTGATAGAAGAGACAGGCAAAAAAGAAAAAAAAACGAGAGAGAGAGAAGAGGGAGAAGAGAGAAAAAGATACCGATTGAATAGGTTCAAAAAGTTTTCGTATTTGTTTGCTTGTTCAATTGCGACATTTCTTCTTCCAGATATCATTTGACACATTTTTTATCTTTGGTGCCGTTTGCTGCTGATTTACAAAAGGCCAAACCGGTTTTTTTTTCAAGTTTACAGTTTAGGAGAAAATTTTTTTGCTCAGGCGGAACTTTTATATTTTATGAACTTCCATTATTCCATCACTTTTATAATTTTTTTGATAAAGAAGCTTCATATATGTGTGACTGTGTTTTTCATCAGACCAGTATCCTCCTTTTTTGCCATTTTTGCCACTTCACGGCTATTCTCTTGAAAAATCAGATGTTGCGAAACACGGTAAAAAGTAATCAAGAGATACGGAGTATGTTATCTCTACAGAGATTTCGAATTAGAACAACAAGACCCACCGAGGAAGTTATTTAGTTCTCATGTTTATTTTTGCAGCCTCATATTTCTATATGTACAAACATTTCATTGATTGACTGGAAATATTTTGTGATTTGTGCTAGTGTATCCTTTTTTGCTCAAACGTTTGCTTAGCCTTTTTCCCTGTTTTATCTTGAAACTGTTTCTCGATAATTATCTTCATGGTATATTTTATTAATGTTGCGAGCCGGGCCAGGCCGGACCATCTGCCTACCCGGACCAAAGGTCCCACAACGTCAACTACAGAAACCTAAAGCTCTTTTTATTTTCATAATTAATTTTTTCGTTTTTCACGGATTTCGGTCGAATTTTCTGTCAATTTTCTATAAACAAGCCGAAAAATAATGGATTCAATAATTAAAAAATCGACTGAAAAAGCACAGAAACAAGAGAAACGATACGAAAAACAAAAACATTTTTAGGTTACAGTACTTGCCGGAGAGACCATCTAAAAAGGAGAGACCATCTAATTTTAGAAAGATCCATCTATTAAAAGGGTCGCATAAAATGTTGTTCAAGTTTAGATATTTTCAAACGTTTTCAGCAAAAAATGAGCCCGAACTCGCGAAATTTCATGAAAATCCATTAAAGCGTTTTTTGTCAAATTTTTACGAATTTTGAACACGGAACTGCTTTTAGAATTTTCGGACGTTAGGAGGAGGGCTAACTAAGAATATTGTTTCTTGATCATTCTTTCTTTCTATAAAAATGGTTTCGATCAGATTAGCATTCAATTTACTTCCAGTTGTTTTCCACTCAACCTTGGTTATTCTTCTATCACAATCGTGTGATAACTTATTCTCGCAACAATCTATTCGGGTACGATAACATTGAGGTGAGTCAAAAACAATTTCTATCAAACTTGATATGTTCATATCAAAGGTGATAACAACATCCACATAGATAAAAGTTCGCAGTGTCGCCCTCAACAAATTTCGGACGTTTTCCGGAACAGCTTTGGAAATACCGCCTGCTCCAGTAGTTATCCTCTTGACTACTCCACCCTAGACTAATTCAGGGATTTTGGTTTTTCCAGAATCTGGCATTGGAAACCTGAAAAGTGAATTGTTGACGACATCGTGGTCCCAGATTCCCATTGAACGGAGAAGTAAGTCATTTAATTTTTCTTTTTTACTCAGATTGTTTGCTTTTCCAAAAAAAAAACTAGGCTGATTGGAGAGGGTGAGAGTGTTAAACAAAATGCGAGATAGTGGACGAGAGGTTTGATAAGCTTTTCATTATTTTCCTTCCTGGCAAGGGAACGTTTCCAGAGGTCTTCTTAGAATTTGCTGAAAATTTGTCCTGACCTACTTTCGAACATGCTTAACCGAACAATTTCAAAAATATCTAGGCCCCGTTCCGATATCAAAATACAGACTCTTGAAGTGTTTTCAGCGCTGAATTTTGACCAGAAACGAGCATTCCTAATCTTCTTCAATCTTCCAAACTCGTTTTCCAGGAAATTTTTTATCGTCTGAAATTTTTTTTTTGTGAAAAAAAGGAATTCTTGGCAAATTGTTGAAATGTTTTGAGTGCTGAAAAGTCTTTCAAACGTTCAAAAATGACAGAGACCTCACAAAGTTTAGCAGCCTGGTTTGTCTCTGTGATATGTGAGCCCTGATAGTTCTTGAAATATGAATATGGCGAAAAACTAGAAAAATCGTAATTTCTACAATATTGACAACCGTATAGAGAAATAAGTTATTCAATTTTTTTTACTCAGGTTGTTTGCCTTTGCTTGTAACACTAGTTTGATAAGAGAGTGTGAGAGTGATGAACAAAAAAGATAGATGCATGACCAATTTCTGTTTTTCTCTACTGAGCAAAAAAAAAACTGTTTGCAGGTTCTTCTCCAGTGGAATAGAGTTCCGAGGATACTTTTTCATGAATTTTTAAACAAAGATCTACACATCACCCCGATTTTACACTCACTCCTCGGATTGCACTTATCTGATTTTCTTTGATCCTTCTCCTGGAGCACTGACAAGTAAGCCGTTCCACTTTTTTACTCAGATTGTTTGCCTTTCCAAAAAAACTAGGTTGATTAAAGAGGGTGATAGTGATAAACAAAAAAACGATAAGGGAGGTGACAGAACACGTAACGGTTTCTTTCGGGGAGTCACATGCGTCTGATACGGTTTTTAAAAATATTTTTAATGAGCAAAACAGTCTTTCCATATAAAATCCTTATTAGTTGAGATATTTGTATTAGGTTGGCTAAAAAATAATGGTTGTTTTTATGATCAATTGAATTTTTCATAAAAAAGGAAGTAGACAAGATTAACTCAAAAGCTATTTGCCATAATTATCAACTACTTGTAGCCAACATCCGCGCAAAGAATGGGGTCCGCTGTGAAAGAACCCCACTGGCTGCGACCCAAAGTAGGCGACTAAACCATTTTTCGGTCTCAACGAGGCTTTTGAAGTGTTTCTCGGTTAATGAGGGTCGCATTGATATGAATTACTGGAAATCTGAAAGTGCCAAATCAGGGCTACTTGGCGGATGAAGGAGAACTTCCCAGCCCATTTCCTCGATTTTCTGCTGAGTGACTTTTGACACATGCGGCCGAGCATTATCATGAAGGAATTTTGTCGTTGGTGTATTCACACCTTGACGTCTCAACGCTCGCTGCATTTGGCCCAATTATCATTGATAGAGTTCAGTAGTGGCTGTTAGACCTTTTTCCAGAACTTCAAAACATACCAGACCCTTGCTCTTCCACCATACACATAGCATTACTTTCTTTCCGTATATCTCTCATTTCGAGTTGTTTCGGATATTCTTCGAGAAAAGAAGGATAGTTCTGATAAATGCGAGGAGGGAGTGGTTGTAGGAAAAAACTTCCGCAACTGTTCGACTTTCCAATTTGTGCAAATGGTTTTCAATGGTACCATTAGTACAAGAAAACGGTTCTGAAAGACAACGAGTCGTTTGACAAGGATCCGACTCGTTTAAGTCTCTCAGCAGTTCACTGTCAATGATTTTTAGTCGAACGGTGTGTTCACGGTTTTCCAAGCTTTCATCGTCATTATGAAAACGGTCAAACTAGCGTACGAATAAATTTTTTATAGAAAAGCTTGTTTGAATACTTTTGAGAGAGAACTAAGAGCTTGCGCGGCATTTTTGACCAACTTAAGTTTGTACCTTCCCGCGCGTTTTTCGGAACAACGTTTTCTAAACGGAATTCCCAATTGAAAAAACAGAATGGCAAACTGAGACTATATATCAAACGATGCGCAAAAAAACGCTCTTTCGAATAAAAAGAAGGACGAGCAAAAATGTTCTCCGGATTGAGAAATACGTTCCGACAAACACGCCACTCATTATTTTTTAGCCAACCTAATATTTATTTATTTTTTGGTTTGCAAACCACTCTTACTTCCAGAAATGGAAGCGGTCGCTCAAATTGAGGAAGCGGACGCTATAATTGATCAAAGGATCGCCGAACTGAATGGGAGAAAAAGAAATTTTGCTTCTGAGGTCACTTTTGCCCTGGTGAGAATCCAAAGTTCCATATTATACCTGTTAATTGTTACATATTTCAGCCTTCTGAAGCTGAGAAAACCACATCTGAGGATGATTATCTGGCTGATTGGTTCAATTTTCTTGACCAGCTAATAGACGAAGATATAGGATCAAAGACTTTAAATGCCCTTTCAACTAGGCCAGCTGACAGTAATGATTTCAATGAATACCGTCCAGATACTGATAATGATGGTAGAGAAGATCGCGGAGCGAGTAATCACGAAAATTGGGATTTACATGGGATCTATGACTTTGATCCAGATAGAGAAGATTTGATGCCTTTACATACCGAGCTTCTGAATGATGATGAATCTCAAACAAGCATTGGGAATTTACCTGCACCAATTTCCTCTTCGATGATGAATAATGAGCCGGCCATTTCTGAAAATGACCCACCGGGGACTATCTCTTCAAATAATGAGACGACTATGGATCATGAAGTACCAAGTACAGAGAGTGGATATGAGTCAAGTCCTTCAACATCTTCGTCATCCAACGTCTGTAATGGTATTGGGGATATTGAAATCTCACCTTTCCCAGAAGTCATGGAAACAGAAGATGGGGAGCAGGAATCCAGCACTCCGGCTCGACCTCCCAGGACAAGAGACTTCAACAGTCAGCAAGACCCAACCGTAGCAGACTTGTCACAACAAGTAGAAAATTCTCTTCATGTACCCGACGACTTGGAACTTGATTCTTACGATAAAATCTTCTCAGGACCGTTACCGATCCCTAAGAATCGAACTGTTGGATCAAACTCTTCCGACCACGGCAATGACTTCCAACATCAATCATGGTCAAGCACGACTGAGGCAATCCCATCAATGATAGATAGTGAATATCAGTCGAGTCCTTCCACATTCTCGCCATCCAATGTGGTTTTCCCAGAAGTTATGAGAATGGAATATCAGGTGCCAACATCCAGCCAATATCCGTTTTACGCTCCTGCTCACCCGTCCAGGGGTAATGACTCGAAAATATTTGATCGTCAGCATCCAAAACAATACTGTGATCTGGATAAAACAACATCAGGCTTATTGCATCAAGTCACTACCGAAGATTATTTTTCTGGAACTGGAATTAGTGAACCATGGTCATCCTACTATGGTATTAGTTTAAAACACCAATCACGGCCAAGCCTGACTGAGGAAAACCCACGTCACTCTGCTAAGCGAAAACGTTGGGCACCATACTCCAACAATCAACGTCCTCTCCTGGAAAGAAAAATCAGATCGGATGGAAAAGAGTTATCTCTCAAGGATCAACAAAAACGGCTTTCCCGTCCAGTCGACGTGTTCCAGAGCATCTCAGCTTCTATGCAAACTCCAATGACCCAGGTATTCTGAAATGGCTATCTTCCTTATGAAACGCTAAAATATATGTCGATATTCGCATTGATGACCAAGATTTTTTAGGTCATGACCCAGATTTTTTAGTTCATGACCCAGATTTTTTAGGTCGCGACCTAGATTTTTTAGATCGTGACCTAGATTTTTTAGATCGTGACCTAGATTTTTTAGTTCGTGACCTAGATTTTTTGGGTCGTGACCTAGATTTTTTGGGTCGTGACCTAGATTTTTTAGATCGTGACCTAGATTTTTTAGATCGTGACCTAGATTTTTTAGATCGTGACCTAGATTTTTTGGGTCATGACCCAGATTTTTTAGGTCGCGACCTAGATTTTTTAGATCGTGACCTAGATTTTTTAGATCGTGACCTAGATTTTTTGGGTCATGACCTGGTTCTCAAAAATATTTAACATCCATATTTTTAGGACTTTGAACAAGGGAGCTGCAATTCGAATGCTACCACATTCGAATCGAACGCTGATTCTGAAAGCCAGTACAATGTCGATTCACCTCCCATCCAACAGTCCGGTGCACAGGTTCTCTTGTGTAAACGTTCTTTAAAGTTTTCTCATAATTCATTTTTCCAGAAATACCCTCCTGATTTCTTTGATTTGGGATCACTCCATAAGTATGTTAAAAAGAATCAGGAGTATTTGAAACAACTTGGTGGAGGTGATACGACAGAAGAAAAACGAATTAGACAAAGGACCAACGTTGAAGATAAAGTGAGGTTTTGAAACTTTGATTAACGTAGCAATGATTTAGTTTTAGAAGCATCCGAATTAATGTAACCAATATAAATAATGTTATTTCAGAATCGTCGAGAAATGATGGATAGGAATTGCGACTACTCTAAGAAATGCGCACAAAACAAAAAAGATGCAATGAATGCGAGAGTTTTAGAATTTATTGAGATGGTTGAAGAAGTTAAAGGAATCGAATCAGATGAACGCCTAGCTGTGTTTGCTTTAGAATTGGATAATTACATGGAAAGAGGAGTTGACAATAGTCCCATCGAGGCATATCAAGCACAAAAGCGTCAATTGCTTTCCACTAGTGTCGATTTAGAAACTGAACGAAAGGTTCAGGAAACTTGGGAGGTGAGATATAGGTAGATTTTTGTATATCATCAAAAAAAACTATTTTCAGTTACTAAACAAAAAGAGAAACGACTTTGAAGAGAAGTCACAAAAATATGCGGATACAGCGAAAACAGCTAAAAACTATGGAGAAGTAAGTATATTGTCACTTTTCTGTAAACAATAAATGTTTTCAGGAAGAGAAGAAGAAAGCAACAAATTCAGCTGGATCGGCCAAGTCACGAGCAAAAGAAAAAATGGAGTATGCGGAGTTAGAATACGATATCGCCTGTCTGGACCTTGTATGTCATCGAAATTAAAACTTCATTTGGAAATTCTACTTCGCAATTTTTAGATCATCTCAAAAACTCCACACCTTTCCAATTTGGCTCTCGAATTCGCCAGATGGTGCGCCAACAAGATTGCTCCTCAAGTAAGCTGGGATGCTAAAAAAATCATGGAATGGGTCCACCGAAACGGGAGAACAAAGGAATGGGAAGAACTAAAATCATTCAATCAATTTGAATAACCATTTTCCTCCTTAAAGTTATTCTTTTCAAATAACTAATTTCCTACTACAACGGGTGAAAATAAAAAGTTCTACGGGTAGTTCGTTTATATAAAACAGGAGCAAAATGAAACAGAAAGAATGCCATCACATACGCCCATAGTGTTTATATGCAAAAATATCCTCATTGTAAGTTGAAAATGTTTTCCTCAGGCATCATTTCAGCATCATATTGCTTGTTCTCAAGAGAAATTCCTCATAACTTTTAGTGCTAGCAAGAAGAAGTCTGAAGAAGAAAATTTGTGTGAAAAGTATTTTTGAAACATCGCGTGAGGCGAGACATTGAAAACTATTGAAATTGTATTAAAAGAGCTCTTCTAATACTTGAATAAAAAATTTCAGTAATGCGTTGAAACCCATTTTTACTCAAATTTTTAGATCAGAAAATCCTGTGCAGTTTATTTAGTCTACCATAAATACTCGAATAGAAGTATACCGTATACCTGCCTTTTGAGCGGTTTCCATGAGAGATATAAGACGGTAGAAATTTGAAGAATTTTTTTCTCATTCCTGACAACCGGAATTTCTCAAATTTTATGTACAAAAAGAACAGAGTTAACAGAAAAAACAAAAGTTTTTCGAAAAGTTTGTCTTTTCGTCCAGTTTCGTCTTGCCTTTTTATTATTCAGAAATTTTCTGTATGAATAGTTCTAAAAAACGCATCGTGGAGTGTTTTTATAAAATGCTATACAATTTACATACGCCCTTTATTCGAATATGGAACGATAGTCACTTCTCCAATCCTAAAGGATCATATTATAAAATTGGAATCGGTGCAAAAGTCATTTGTTTTCAGAATTTTCAAAAAATTCAGGATGGCATACACTTCATACTTTGAAGCACTGGAAGAATGTCAGCTAAGTTCCTTGGAGTATCGCAGGCTCTATAATGATTTGGTCTACACGTATAAAATTATTGTTTCCAAAGAAATTATCATGGAGGTTCCAATTTTCGAAATATTTAATCATTCTGGATCATTGCGACGTCACAAATACTATCTCAAATCACTTATCAAAAACTCAACAAAAATATCTTCTCAATTTCTCTCTAATAGAGTAATCAGATGTTGGAACTCTTTACCCGCCAAAGTGTTTCCGGTGAAGCCCTCGTCAGTGGCTTTCAAAAATCGACTATTATCCTGTGATCTAAAACATTTTCTTGTCTTGAATTCAACTAATTACTAACTCGGTTTTTCCTTCATCTCCCAATTACTACAAATGTATGTCCCTGTTATATCTCCTAGTTTCATAGACATTTCACGTGTTAGTGGTTTTCTCCCCTTCGTTGAAATAAATAAATAAATAAATATATTTAGGCACCACAACAAAATTTTCAAAATAGATTTTTCCCAGTTTTTATTGTTGGATTGTCTTCTCCTACTTTACAGAAGTCCATTCCCAAAATTTCAGCGAAAAATCTTCATTCAATCCCGAGTTACACACCATTTTGTACCAGACCTCAATGTACTGACTTTCTCCTCATTTTTTTGCGGTGCGCAGAAAAGTGGGCGGGGTTTAGAAGCTTGCAATACTGCGGCGCGGAAAATTCGTGAAGGAAATTAAAGAAAAAGCTATTAGACGCGAGAGAGACCCGAACCTCCGCCTGCGTCAGATCGGCGCGCGCACCCACTATCCAGTCGGCCACGGCTGCACTCGCGGTGGTAGCTTTAGAGGGAAAATATGAATGTGCGACTCTTCGCTGCCTGCTGCCTTCTTCCGGTGTTGCTTTCTTCCTATGTTTTAAAGAAATTGATCTGTGAATGATAAGGAAACAGACGTATAACACATTAAGGGCGTCGATAGAATTTTTTAATTATAATTGCTCTTAGTGGCAAATTTTGCGTAGAATCTTATGGTGAAAAGAAAATCGGTGGCGCTCACCTGTGTCACCTTCAAAACTTCCAAAAACTGAAAATTTTGAAAGTTTGGAATTTTCGGATGAGTATCAAAACTACTTAGAGGTATCCAATCTTTCTGAAAATTGGCAGAAGTATACACAAGACTTAGTTTTACCATAGTATGCAAAAAAAAATTGGGGTCATCGCTGAAATTTTTTATTTATTTTAGCTGGAACTTTGGCTGAAAATTGTGAAACAAGGGCGTCGTTAGAATTTTGATTTTATTTCAAAATCCAATCCCCCAGTTCATAAACTATCAGAATCCATTAAAAAATCTAATGGCGCGAACTTCCATCCAGCACTTTTAGTCCACTTTGTCAGTCCCACTTCTATTTTTCGAAGTTTTCGAATCAAAATAATAAAGTTATCGAAGAACTGATAATTTCATTGGATTCAGCGTAGTCGATTACATAGGGACAAGTTCTCACCAAAAAAATAATGGGTTTCTAACGCCCGGTACAAGCCTTCAAAGATGGATTTCTGAAAAGGGGAGAAAAATTTGGTCGCCCCGCCCCCTTTCATTGCGGTGCCTAAATATATTCCAGAAATTAGTCAAAGTTATAGAAACGTTTATTTGACGGATCTGAAAATAATCTTGAACAAAAAAATAGGTGGTCAAATTGAAATTGGACAGTGTAGTAGTAGTATTCTCAAATCCAGGTGACAACCAATCTTCCTGCATTTTGAACTTTTCGTTGCTCTGTGCCTTCTTTTACTCTACAGGTACAGGATCGGTTTGTCTCCCGATTTTGTACTTTTTTAAAGGAAAAAGTGGTCACGCCAAATTCAAGTATTATTTGAATTGTACCACCAGGCACAAAATCGGTAGGCAAACCGATTTTGTGTACCTAGTGAAACAATTCAAATTTTCTCTGATTTCACGTGTCTTTTTGTGGATTTTGAAACATTTCTCATGAAATCCGATTTTGAACCAATTTTTTGATCGACACTAACTTTCCACAATACGCTTATTTGGGTGAGACCAATCCGCTATCCAACAGTAAATCCGATGTTAACAATACGTACCATCAAAAAATGAGAAAGAATTCGGGTCGGGTAGGGATCCTCTAGA